TTTTTATCCACTATTTTTTTTCCTTTGTTAAAAAAAAAAGTATATTAATAACTAAAATGGAAAGAAAATGTACCTTTTTGGGCTTTACTACAACATCTGAAGTGAAGCTGGACTCAAGGGCATCTTTAACATCCAAGTCACCTTCTTTGCTCTCCCTGTCATCATCACTAACAATGGGCCCGTTGTCACAGATGGGTGTTTGGAAGTCATCGTCAGGAAGAGGTGGGTAACTATACTTGAAGGAATCCTAGAACATAGCCAAATAGGTTAGGTCACCACATGCATGGTTATTAAAGAGTAACACTTTTTCTAACAGATTAATCAGTAAATATGATTTTGGTTATGTAAACAAAGAAGCAAAGTAACTAAACTTGTGTTTAATATTGAAAAAAGTTAGATTTCTTCATCACTGGCAAGAAAACTAATGCAGATACTGAAGGGAAAAAAAACAACATTTAACCCAGTGTTGACCTTAACGCTTCACACTGCATTTGAATCCTAATCTTCTACATCATGGTCCACTTAACATGTTCCACTGTTACTTTCTAATAGGTCTTTTTAGATTCTATACAAAATGGTAGCATTCACCTGATCAGCTCTGAAAAGGACTTGTGACTCATGAAGTTTCCCATCACATGTTAGATTTTCTAAAGCCTAAAATCAGAGCCCAGAGGGGGTAGAAGACTCTAATTCCCTCTCAGACGACTTGAATTACAACCTGCTGAAAGATTATTATGGATTTTCTTTTGCTAAATCACACCCAAACCATGTGGCCTACCCCAGTTTTTAATATTTATCACACTATAATCCCACTGGAGTATTGACCATTCCATTGCTAATGCATCTTTTGTTAAACTAATTAACGCATAATTTAAAACCATTTTAAAAAGCCATAACATACCGTTCCACCCATGTGAGGTGGCAAGTACTCGGGGCCTATGTATGTCTGGACCTCAGATTTGGATGCAAACCTAAGTTTGCTGATTGCCTCTGGACCCAACCACGACTTCACAATCTTCCACGCAGCTGTAGCAGAGGCAAATGTTTTATTGTTGAGACGTCAGAATCGTAAAAACTAGTAAGGACTGCTTGAAATTTGGAAGCCACAGTCTTACCATTCAGAATCCAAGGCATATCCACTATTATCATTTTGGCTGAAATGATTAAAAAAAAGAAAGAAAAAGGAACAAATTAGTAAGAATAATGTTTCAAAAGATCCAGATGACTTACATGACTTTTGTAACTTACATAAAAACTTTGGATAATATACTTTGAAGCAATTAATGATGTACTTCACAAACTCCATGTCCTGAAACACAAAGTGGAAGAAAGAAATTTGTGATTAATACCACACAAAAGGCTTAAAAAATAAAATATGCATCAACAAACCCCTTTTGCTGGGGAAATTTTTTTCCCTCTCTTAACAGCCTCTACATCTGAAGCGACCCACTTAATATTATATGGAAATTCATTGCATGCTCCCCTTCTGAGTGATCCCCTGCTCAGCCTCTGTCAACCATTGTCAGAGAAAGTCTTAAGCACGTTTTTTTCTCCATTTCTGAACGGCAATATTTTTTTTCACAAAAATTGAATCTTTTCCATCTTGCTTTTTTATGCCATTTTGCCATTACTTAATGGTAACACGCACATTTAACCCTCAACTTTTATCATTACACAATGCCTTAATTACACAATCCTGCAATCCTGCTAAAATCAAGTTACGTAAAAAGAGCTCCCAAATGGCTCAGATTACAGTGCATTTTCTCAACATAAATAATAAAAGGGCTTCTGATTAAAGCCCCTTAGACAGGCACAAATTTTAATCTCCAACTCAAATGTTCAGTCACGCTTTAAACAATTTTAGATAAATATGAAAAATCTTAACCTCACTGTTTTATGATAATTTAAATTATCAGACAAACAGCAAATACGTCAATAGTAATAACCCCTATATCGCGGCTCAGCTTTACAATTGGCTAGAAGCCTCATTGCTATGCAGGAAATTCACTCCCAACCCATAATGAGATCATACTGGCTAGCTTTGCGCTGGCTCATACTGTGGTTCAACGGGCCTCAATAAAGCTGCTTTCCAAACTGATCATCTAATCTACTCATTTTATACAGGAGCTGCATAGCTATTTATTCTTTTTGCCTTGTTTGTGTTGGTTTATTCGTCTTTAATTGAGCAATTTTTCTAGGAGAGAGCCAAGCCAATGAAATAAACTCGCTGACAGAGCCCTCCATCAAGGAGCCAATGCCTGTGACACAGCGAGCCTAAGGATTAGACGGCCCGCTCGAGCTGACCATCAGGATTTGAAGGTTACTTTAATCTCTAACGTGTAATACCATTGAGGAGTATCAGCCCCTGCAAGTCCACAACTCAAGAAGCAAGAAGTATGAGGAAGGTAAACAACATTGCAGTGACAGTAACAGGAAAGCAACAGACTTATACCTTAGAGGAAAAGACTGAAAACATAATGTGAGTTTTGAAGACCTGGATTAGACTAGAGCACGAACTGTAAATTATTTAAACACAAAAGACTTCCTCTTAAAAATAACTTTATGGACTTACTACATTGCTGAGGCCAGAGTCCGTCATGTCAAACACAACGGTTAGAGGCATCCCAGGTTCCTTCTTTGCATACCTCTCCAGCCAAAAGGCCACATACTTTTTCTTGTCTATGACAGTCTTTGCATCCTTGACATGCAGCTTTACCTTAAACCAGACTAAAACACAGGAAACAAATTTTAAGTTATCATATTTCATTTGTATTTTTTTTTCTCAAATTGGGATCAAACATTTTTAGTGGGAAAGATAACGTTTCTAACAAATAAAGGCTGAGCTGAAGCATCTCTTTTAATAGAGCAAGTGCATACAGAGTTTGTTGCCCTCTTTGTCATAGCCATGGAGGTAGACAGCCCCAGTTTCGAACATCCATCTGGGAATAGTGCTCTCATTAATGTCTGAAACACACATGAGGACACTCATTACATTGCTATCCAGTGCTCTCATTCAAAGAATAACAATATGCAACATGACATTTTAGGCAAAGGGAAGAATCTGTCTTGTATCTTTTAGACTACTGCTGCCTTTAATTTCTTTGCCTCAAGGCGCAGAAAATCTTTAATTTGATTATTTTGTGTTACCCTAGTTCTTAACAAATAAAACAGCATAAAGTGTATGAAATATACTGTGCTAAATTTCTGAATCACTGCATGGTCCTTTAGAGAAGGTCACTAATTTGCCACATTTTAAGAGTATTATGAAGTCTTGCTATTAAGGTACCTAGATTCCCAAAAGTAGGTCTTTCTAAAACTTCCAAAATTGATGGAAAATAGCAAATTTTCTGTTAATGGATATAAATTCACCCCAGCCCCCCCCCCCCTTTTTTTTTTTTTTAAAAAAAAGGCAAAATCCTTGAATACCTTGTAGACTTTACTGAAGGAAACTTTCTAAAAACAACTGTTGACAAATAGAATTTGCTATTTAAAAAACAGACAGTTACTCTGAAAAGTTCCTCACAAGAAACAGTGGGGATTGTTCTTGGGTGTGTGGAGAAACTGGCGTTTCCCAAACAATGATGTTCTGTCTGAACTAATGCCAGGGAAGCACAAAGACAAGCAACGGTTTGTACTGCAGGCTTATAGACATCTCAAAATGGTAATGTCAATATTTTCACTTTTAGGAAGGGCTTATGATTTTTGGGGCTCAAATATAATATGCATGTAGCACTGGGAATCGAACATTTTCCTAGTATTGAAACTATAAATTGTAAGCATTAACAACAGTGAGGTTACATTGTTATACTGTGACATAATGCATATCATATCAGCACCTTACCATTTACCCCATACTCTTTTCTCCAATGAAGACTTTCATCAATCATTTTCAAGGCATCATCAACATTATAGATCCTCCATGTCAGGTAGCCCTCCACCAGACTGTCATCTGTCTGAAGCCTTTCCACGTCCCTGGGGTCATACTTCTCTGTTGAATCTGCAAACATTTACACGCAGACTGAATCACATGACAACTTCAAAATCGGTTTCAATTTCATAGACTTAAACTTTCCCATTTAAAATTCTCATAGACCCACAATGTCCACATTGTGCCGCAAACTCAAATAAAGCCCCCAGGAGGCCATGGTGTGACGGCTTAGCCTAAAACTAGTCTAAAAACTAAACTGCTACTCGGGGCAGTAAAGAGCTAACGCTTATCTGGGCTCTGGGTATTCGGGTCAACGTTTAAGCAACAGGGCGTAAAGTAACAGTTAACTATTTAATGTACAATATCTGAATGTATGCAAGCTAGATGACAGCAACCAAAATGCATTCAAAAGCAAGATATGTTATTGTCAGCTTGCCCGCAATAACTGTGCTACCTTGGAGCAACTCATTGTTGAATCTCTGCCTTGTCTCCTCGATTTTCTTTTCAAGGTCCTGTCAAAACAGAGTTGGTTCAGGTTAGAGTCGTCTTTGGCTTTAATCGTATAGTCATTTATGATAATAAATGATAAAAATAAATAAATAAATAAATAACGGTTATCAGCGATACCTGCTCTCCTTCGTGTGGCTCAACTTCAGCCATGTTCAGCTGTCCACTGGTCTTTGGCAGTTCCGTGTACTGAAAGCGAGTTAGCTGACTGTTGTTTGTATGAATCAGTGCGAACTAACTGGGAAACTGACGCCCTGTCGTTGCCATGTTGGCTCTACCGGTTTAGCCACACCTCTTCGCGTGGCTGTTTGTTCGTAACCGAGGGAGTGTTGAATTGTGTCTAAGACCCGTTTAAAGCCTAACTACTCATACAACAAGTCTGTTTAGATAAATGTTCCAGGTAGCGACACATTTCAACTTCCGTGTCGGTGCATGGCTGTTTCGCTTACAACTCTCACCCACAATGCATTTCGTCTGACAGGAAGCGTTCAGAGACCGTTGGCGCGCTACTTCGAGTGTGACCTCGGTGTAAACAAAAGTTGACACAAGTAAAATGAGCGCGTATTTAAACTTGTAACACCACCGTAATGAAAGTGACAGTTCCGAAGTTTATATTAACGTAGACTAAAGGTCTCAGAAGGCGGAAACGGACCCTTCTCTGCTGCATGATGGAGAGTGTGCTCTCGGAAGATTTGTATCGAAATCCCCATCGGCTCTCCCACTGTGGAAAGACTATCTCATTTAACTGCAAACGGGCTCCGGGCACAAATGACAACGAAGGAAGCGAGTTAATATTCTGCAGTCTTTCATTTGAACGGGAAGGGAACACGTTTCTGAAGGCAGCTGACGGAGCGGCTGTCATCAGCAGGAAAAGATTAGCTCATGTGGATATTGTGAAATGTAAAAGCGTCACGGACGCTCATAAGAGAGCCACGGCGCCATGTGTTTTAGTGATAAAGAAGAGTGAGAAAAGAAGCAGTTTTCAGTACAGTCTTCTCACACTGAGCTCTTCAAACCGACTGGAACCCTGTGTGGAGTTTAAACTCCCTTATCAAATGAAGGGGGCTGTGTATATTCTCCAGGGTCCAACTGTGTTGTGGAGGCATGAAGGTGGTGTCCTTTATACATCCCCGCAGGCAGAAGGAGTGAGACAGGTTCCCATTCATTTCTCCCACTGTGTTGTAGGTGAACTCCCTCTCCATAAAGGACAGGTGTTTGTTCTCGGGCTGCAAAAGCTTCCAGAAGAGTCCACTAGCCAAACCCTTGGCTATTTTGTTGAAGATGGACAAGTGTTTGATGGCAGTGTGATTTTACCTCATCTATACATTAGCATCACACAGTGCATCTTGGTGGTTGCGGCTGACAGAGTGGATGGTGTGCTTAAATGTGATGTAGTTGCAGCAACATCTAATCGGCAACTTGTTTATTTTGAGAATGGAGTAGTAAAAGATGTTTGTCAGTTACCCTTTGAGCAACCTGAAAATATTCAGGTAGTTAACACAGGAAGATATGGTTCTCTGTTTGCTGTATCCTTTTGTGAGGGGCATGTTTGCACCATATGGAAGGAAACTTTTCAGGTAGGTTTCATGATCTTTTTACAGTCCAAGTCTCTTGTCTACCCCTCATTGTGCTTTAAAAGTTTTAATAAAGTCTACTTTGTTAAACCATCTTCTCCAGATAGCTGCCCTCTGGTCAAGTGTCACCTCCATCCATGTGGATGACTTCCTGGGGTGTGGAACAGACCAGATGCTGCTGGTTTTTAAGGATCGAGTTATAGCATTGGAAGAATTCCTCATCACTGACCTTTGTGGTATTTCATTTTCTGTAAGCATATTTTTCTTCTTATGAGTGATGTTCTTCTTCCTATTTCCACCAATTTCCCTTTCGGGGGCGTGGGGGGCAAATGTGACAAGCCGATCTATCTGTGATGGATAGGCACCAGCAACACACAACTTTTGATTGGATAAGCGTTTAAAAAATGTAATGAATGAATGGAAGACTTAATGTTTTAGTTTACAGGAGTTTTTAGTTTAGGAGTTTTAGGATTTTTTTTAAGTATATCTAACTGAAAATACATGTTTCAGCATGGCCAGGACACTGAAGCACCAAAGACATCCCCTCCTCCACCAGAGAACTATCTCCTTACACTTAAAGCTTTGGAATCAAGACTGCAGGTGAGTCTTTATAATACATTAATAGAGTAGGTGTAGAAGCACTGCAGTAATATTTTTTGGGCTAATGGTCATACATTATATGGTCCAAAGTATTGGGTCAAATTGGCCTCTTAATTTTTGAATTCAGGGTTTTTCATTGCAACTGATTTCACTTGTGTATGAAATCAAGAACTCAGCCATGCAGTCTCCCTTTACAAACATGTGGGTGAATAAGGGGTGGTTCTAAAGGCCTCATAGAATGTGAGCAGGGTACTGTTATAGGATGCCACCATTGCAATAGGTCAATTTGTGAAATCTCTTCCCTAGTAGATATTCTACAATAAGCTATAAGAGCTAACTGTATTGCAAAATGTATTGCAACGTGGAAACATTTAGTGGGGTCGCCTATTGCTAAAATTTGCTGACTCAAAAACTTCAGAGCTCTACACCTCCTCTGGCATTAACACCAGTATAAACGCTGTGCACCGGGAGCTTCATGGCATGGGTTTCAAAGACCGAGCAGCTCCTGTAGGTGTAATGTGTAGATGGCCCAGTACTTTTTTCCATGTGGTTTATGTATGTAATAGATTGCCTTCAGGGGTCACACAGTGGTGCAGTGACTAACAATGGCGCTTCACAGCAAGAAAATCCTGGGTTTGAAACCAGTTGCTGGCTCCCGCCTTTATGTATAGAGTCTGCTTGTTCTCACTGTGCCTGCATGGGTCCTCTCAAGGCCAGCGACATGCATTGTAGGTCAATTGGTGATTCTAAATTAGATGTTTGTGTGAATCCTAGTGAGAATGGTTGTCTGTCTCTATCATGTGTTAGCCCTGTGATGGACTGCTGATCTATCTGTCTTCACACCCAGTGACAGTTCGGATAGGCTCCAGCAATACATAACTCTGAATTGGATAACTGTTTAAGAAAATGAGCAAATTGATGAATGGAAGACTTTATGTTTTAGTTTAACCATACGAGAATGATGGTTACAGCATTATATATATTTTTTTTTTCATCTGAGTTACTTCTGATGTGTTGTGTGATAAGTCACTGTTGTCTAATGGTTTGTAACACTTGGATGTATTTCTATATGCATTTGTTATCTAGCAAAGTAGCAGTGACAAATTAAAGGAAAAAATCAACATAAAGCCTCTTAATAAGGGGTTAGGTTCATCTGCCATCAGAACAGCTGCATTGCACCAATGCATTGATTCTTCAATTCTCTGAAACTTTACTGAAGGCATATACATACCATTCTTTAAAAATGAATTGGTGACTTTCATAATGGCGGTTCAGAGTGCTATTTCACATGCTAATCCCACTGTGTTTGCAAGAGCCATGTCATATGATTCAGATCATTTTTCATTATTAATGAACTGTTCAGTGAACCCTCAGGCCCTGTGGATGGAGGTCTTGTCACCCTGGAAGTGACCACTCCCACTTTGTACTGATTGTATTGATTTTCAGCAGTCTTTCCCTCCAAAGGGACTATTGGACTCAAGCTGTGTCAGCAAAATGCCCTTATAGCAAAACAGAGCAGCAAGATCTCGTCACTGTAGGGGTCAAGGGTTCAGGGTTTTCCTTTAATTTGTCGTCCTTTGTATATCAAAATTAGAAAAATATTTTTTACACACAGTTTATTGTGATGCTAATTTGATTTAATCCATACTGGCAGTCACATTTGCTGACCTGATGATGGTATTTGTATGAGATGTTGACCCCTCGTGAACCTAATTTAAGTTACTCACTGTGTGTTAAATTTATAATGTGCCCTGTCAATCAGATATGATTTGTAATTTAGAGTGGATTGACTGTGCTTCAAGAGCTTCAGAGAGAAGTGACAGTGAAGGAAAGCGTTCTACGGCAGTCGGTCAAAGCCCTTACTGATGTGGTCTCAGAAAGAGAGCCTGTTCTCACACAGCATGAGCAGGTACTACAGTAATAACACATCATGCATGCTTTGTTGAAGTGTATTGAGAGAGTAAATTGTTAAACTTAAGCTCGGCATACACTGTGCAATTTTTTTCAGTCACGTTATTCAGCTCCTGCTCAAACTGTACGATTGAATCGCAGGGGTTAGAAGTTTGTAGGTCACGATGCAGGGTCCCACATTATAAGGCCCGATGCTCTGATGCGACCTGAGTGCTCACACTGTGCGTCCATAACATGAAGCTTATAACACAAAATCTGTCTCTCGCTCTCCCTTTCTCTCCCTCTCTCTCCCCCTCTCTTTTAATATGATCTCCAGGAAGTTGAAGTGAACAAACTGTTAGCCTCTTAAATCGAACAAACACCCACAACAAATGCAGTGTATTCCCCAAAATAAATGTTTTTCAAAGAAAATTTTCAAATACTTTACATCCTTTTTTTTTTCTTTTACCTGCATCATTGCATCTGAAGTCTGCTTTTTAAATAACATTCATAAAGTCCACTGTGTCTGTGCCTAAATGCCTGTTGTTCAAATTGAAACGTCTGACATAAAGTGCTATTGCTGTCAGTGCTGTCACACACTTGTCATTGCTGATTATAGTCTTTGCACTTTCCGTCTAGGAAGGGCTTATTGCTCTGTGGGACTCTGATGATGAGTCAAAGAACGAGGCCTTGGATGACAAGATTCACGACATCCCAGCGGTGTCTTCAAAACCTCGAATTGACAAGCTGTGGCATCGCACCACTGAGGGCCGAATGGTTGTGGGAGTGATACTAACTACTGACAGATCAGCGTAAACATGATTTCTTTGTTACATTTTTAAAAATTATTTGATGGACAAAGGTCCAAGGTTCTGAAACACATTATCTAAACATTTAGTAGTGACGCCTCTGAAATCTTAATCTGCTTGATACCTTGTCACTCATAATCTGTTCGTGTGGTTGAGTGGATCCATGAGTGTAGGGTGAAGACAGAGGCAACAACAAACAACATGGCATTCTGTGCTTTAATCAAGTGACAAGAACCACAGTCCAGCTGTCAGACGGTATCATTGCTGTCTGATTAGATTTATCTGAACTTAAACAGTTGCTGTTTGCTGTGAAATAATGTGGAATAAATCACATTACTTTGCGCTCGATTAAATCAATAAGAAACTCTAAACATAATCAGCACTAACTGGATAGAGATCCTTTTTTTGCCTCTTTGATTGCCCCTCACTACAAGGCAGATACAGGGTGACTAGGTGGTCACCATGGCAACAAGTTTTTAATATCTTTCCAACCTCCTTATGTGGGAACAAAAAGCTATCAGATTCCTCCATCCACCTGTTACCGATTTTTCATTTGAGAACATGTGAAGGAAAGCTACTTTCATGACGGTCTCAGGTGCCATTTAAGTCCCACACATTGCTGTTTTGATTGGTGTACTTGCACAGCTGATGTAATTTCACTGCCTGGAAGTAATCAATTCACAAGCAGTCGCACATTCAATTCACAGACACACGCACACATCGTCTTTACTGTTATATCAATTTCCACTCTGAATAGCCACTATCTGTGTGATATCTGATTGTTAGTGATGTGCTATTTTTGTTCCAGACCAGTTACCAATGTGAGCTTATCCATCCTGACAGACACGGGCCAGTGCTCAAGGCCCGCAGTCATCCAGACCCAGAGCCAAGTGTTCTGGCTCCCTGCGGCCTGCTCCTCGCCATCATCATCCTCCTCCTCTTCCTTCTCTGCCTCCACATTCCCAGAGCCCCCAGCCAAAAAAAGCAAGCAGCACAACGCCATCAGCACCAATGATCTCAACGCATGCAGAGTGGCTGTGACTGCGGTGACCAAGCTGACACCTCTGTTGAACTCTGGCCGTGTCAAGTGCCATGTCATGCTCCATTACATCCAGACACCAGATGCTTTTTCCTTCATGAGCAACCAAAGACCAGTTGTGTTGCACTGTGGCCAAGTTGCTTTAGACATTCAGAACAATTTGCACACTGAGCTGCTTAAAACTCCCCAACTCATAGCAGGTAAAAGCACAAAGGTGTGCGACTTGTGATTTTACTCCTGACATGTAGATGTTAACAATTGTTTTGTTATTTTCTCCAGATGAGGTTAGAGAGGACTTCCTGAGTCTTTTAGCTGTGCTCGATCACTGGGTCTTCCATATAGACTCTCCTGAATACAGCTTAGGTGACATAAATGGCTGGATTCAAAAAAGAGTGGGTTGTAAGAAGATAGAAGTGAGCCCTCAGTATCTACTATTAAATTCTTCAGGACCATCTGCTCTCATGCTGCTCAACTGGCATCAGATAACCCCTTTCCAGGGAGAGCTGCATGTCCATTCCAGGTAAATAAGTTTCTGATGGCTGATACCAGTAAGGCTGTATTTCTGACTTCTGAGATGTATAGTTACAATTGAATTATCAATTTGGAGATTGAAAGGAGTATTTCTTGTAAATCTTAGAATTTAAGGGTACCGCATGGACCAAATAAACAAACAAGAAGAAAGAACATCTGTTACCCACAAGGATCTGTCCTATGCTATTACATTTAGTCTTTTTATTCTGCTATTCCTTATATTTTCTTTTCTAGTTATCCAAAGCTAGATATTACAACCTGTAATATCACTGCTCAGTGCACTGAGCCACTTCTACTGGGGATTGTCGTGATGTATTAAATTTTATTTAAAGAAAAAGAAAGCATAGTTCTACGAGTAGAAGCCTCCACTGCTCAATTTATATTAACAGATTCAAAGCTGAAATAGCTTTGAAGTTGACTAAGATGTATGTCAGCATGATATACCACTGAATATCAAAGAGATTAAGATTCTCTGGAGAGCAGAGCACTTAAAATTACAAATCCCCAAAATAAACTCTGAACTAGCAGCTGGTTGTGAATCAGTTGACAAATGACAAAAAAAGATTTCAACAAACTTAACTTCTTTAAATGTATTGTGACATGAATTATGTAATAACTTGTGAAATGTCACTTTTTTTTTTTGTTCACATGCAGCCAGTTACAGATGTTCCAGTTCTTGGACTCTCTGCTGGCGTACCTCCCCGAGTCCTGTTCCATCCAGCCTCTCAAAGGTGCTGGAGGTAAGGGTGCATCTAAAATGTTTGCCTTAGCGCTGGAAAAAGAGCTGGTGTCTCTCAGAGAGTATGCCTCATTACTACTCTGCGAAGAAGATGAAGAGAAGCTAAAGGAGAAGTGCTTTGGATATAAAGAAACCCCTGATGCAGGTTCTGTAGAGGGGCTCCAGAAGTGTAGAGCGATGTGCCAGAGGGACTTGGAGAGGAGCAATATGAAGTTGAGCCCCCTGGTGGATGTGGGGCAGTATCGTAGGCTGATCCAAAGCATGTCGAAAATCCAACTTAATGGGGATTTGGCAGCACTCTTAGACATTCAGTTTTCTCCACTAATGTGCTGCAGTGGTTTTCATGGTTAAAAATCCCACCTCTAAGTAGCTCTTTATTTCTTTATTGTGTCTGGTGTAATGACTAAAAAGATACATTTTACCACAAATGAGAACCTAGCCGCTCTGCACAGCCTCTTTGTATTTATGCCTTTCTAGTGTCTATTGATAAAAGCCTCAGCCCATTTCAATTGGACCATGTGGGATTCTTAAAATGACACCTTTATGATGCAGCCCTCTGTTTAATTTATTTTTCTATTTATGTCCTTTTAGACTAATGTGTTCAAAAATGCCCTTTTATGTCTGTTGCTGCCTGCAGCCACATGCTAGACAGAGATCACTTTCATCCAGGAGTCAGAAACAGTTTGTGTTATGAATAAAGACACCACATGATGGTTTTGCGACGCTTTATGCTTCTCCTCACTGTTTCTCCTCACATAGTTGACTGAAAGCTTTTAGTGGTACTTTCCCCTCATGGTTCGGTTATTTTTGATGCGTAAGGATGTAAAGAAAAAGAAGTCCTTGGAAGATGTTTGTGCTGCGATGCTGCACAGCCTGTCAGTGCTGTAGTTACGATGCTATTCATTCAAGTAAACATCAAATCGTACTCAAAACGGCTCGATACTTAAGGTTTGTGACAGCTTGAATAGTAGCGTTGGCTAAAAGGGAGGGCAAGAGGTTATTTCCTCCCAGTGGAATTTAATTTAGTTTGTTCTGGGAGCTACTCCATCTGTATGTAGTACTTTTTTTTTTTTTTACACCTTTATTTTCTCTGCTTCATTGCGTTAAATGCTACCGCAGGATTCATTGTCACAGAATGGGAACATAATTACTTAAAGTGGGCCTATTGTGAACATTTTTGTAACCAGACGAGATTGGCAGGATTCACAGTTCGCAATAATGCTTGTTTGTCTTATACTGGACATTTCTTTATAAGGCAACTCTCCCCTTCAAGCCATTATGTGAGCTTGTGCCTTAAATTATAATATTAAGAGCTTCCCTCTATCTTTAACATCATACAGAGAGAGAGAGAAAAGAGTCTGAGTGTTTAGCTTTTTAAAAAGGTTTAACCACTGTAAGCACAGTATACAGAAAATAAGGACAAGCATAATGTATCACATTTAAAAGATTCAGATTATGAGGGATTCTTTATGTCCTACCATTTGATGGTAAGACTGCTGTGAGCTAATGAATTGTTAATTGAAAATCCTTTATTTTGTTATTTTATGGTACAAAATAATCCTCGAACTTCAGCTGCTATGCAGGCTGATCATACACACCGGCATGTAGTCTCTCACATACAGAAGGAAGCCCATCCCCTTTTGTCTGTGATATAAACACCTCTGTCACTTCTAGCCCCGAAGAAAAACTTTGAATCCTCTACAGTAAATAACACCAGTAAATGGCTGGAGGGAAACGGATCCACATGTGGAAAGGAAAATTCAATTGTTTTGGTATTCCCTTAGAGCCCTGAGTGCTGCCACACAAATAAAAAACATGGTTTGTCGTCCTATTATTTCCTGTTAAATTCTATTTACTGTGAGTGGTACAGGACCTCTGCAGGGTTTCTGGCCTCCTCCTCCTCCTCACCTTAATCAGAAAATTTTCTGCCGTTATCAAACTTATCAGGCAAGGGGAAAACAAAATGTATGCGACCCATCTTGAGGCAATTTGCAGACAAATTGATAATGAACAGATTCCTACATTATCTGACACCTGTGCCGACGCCTCCCACCTACAGCGATTTTAGCGTGGAAGCCAGTTTCTACCAAAATAAATTAAGAAAATTAACCTTTTTCTTTCGTTTTTTTTTTTTTTTTTTTTTAACGTTACTTGGAATTGAAATGCCATAATTTTGCTATCTAATTAGAATAATTTTCATGCTTGATTCCATATCTAATCTTTGTAATCCTATTTAAATGTTTTACACTCTGCGCTCAAAGTCAGCACATTTTTTAAAATCTGAATTTTGAAAGTATTTTTGTGGATAATAATAAGCAATAACATAAAGATACCGTTGCACTGGAAAGCATTATTAAGCTCAGGTGAGTTTATATCTGCCACAACTATATATAACAAATAAGGATATGCCATTTGTTTACATCTGAATTACAGCTGATGTGATCCCCATGATGAATGATGCTTTTAACCATGCTTATACTGGCCCTCTGAGACGAAGGCACTGATTTTGTGTTTCCAGTCGACTTATTGATCCGGGGTCACAGGGCTTTTTCTCTGGTAGATTCTGGAACTCACTTGATCAGCCAAACGGTATGGAAGGGCATTGATTATCTACAACATAATGCATCGTGCACACACACACACAGACAGGCTATATCATTCTGTATCCAGTGAGCTCCCATGTGAGATGACACTCAATTTCAAAGAGGGAGAATTCTCATGAGTTAGCAACATTTGCATTTATTGTTTCCATATTTAAAATATTTAACCTACAAACAGTCTTTTTTTGGAACATCTCACCACAGATAATTAGAGATTTCTAAAACCAGTTGTAGTTAACAGTATTTGTTGAGGTTGCACCTTTTGCATACAAATTGCTGACATAGCAGGCCCATTGTTGTTAAGCCCTTAGGCCTAATATTACAGTCTTTATAGGGTTTTCATGCTTTAGAATGGTCCACCAGGGGTGACTATCATGGCCAGTTTACAGAATTAAAAAACTGATTAAATAAACATAGTCACAATGCTGTAGATTTTCCTTTTCGTCTCTTTCTTATATCTCTTTCTGCATAAAAACATTAAATGATGCTAAAGAGAGGAATAATACTGAATTTATATCATGTGAACATCATCTGGCCACTTTTTGTTAGCTTTTTGTTCAATACTATGTTTCCCTAAGATAAGCAATTGAAAGGAATATAGTTGATGTCATGTTATTATTTTTTTATAGAAACAGTTTGCAGTGTGAGTTCATACACACTGGAGAGAAAAGACTACAGATCAATAGCAGTTTGTCACATCTCCCATTGATCCAATTTCGCATTTAAAATAGTGGACACCGCATATGCAATGAAGTCTTCACAAAACCGTCCCTGTTTGTAGTTTAAGTGTAATCTGAGCATCATGTAAGCATAATCCTCTGAAGAAACCCTGAAACTCATTCCGCCTTACCAGAATATAGTAGAAATTGTGTTTGTGATTTAATGCAGTATTTATATCCAGGCTTAAGAGGCACCATTGGTGAAACCAGGCACAAGTGTTCTTAAGTTCATTAATTTCCTGCTTTCCTCTAAGTGGCCATATCAACACCGGTGCAGTTACTATGGCAACCTTCATGTAATGCCTCTCAGACCTCACAAACCAGCCTCAGTAAACCTTGCGGATGATGGAAAGTTGTTTCCTCTTATAAATTATAAGCTACAAATAATTTTTCTTTCATAAATCGTTCTACTGAACTTGATCGTACGAGGGCTGTTTCATCCTTGCATATTCAAACAGCAGTAACACTGGGCAGTGGTGTAGAGCTCTGGCAGTGTAATGGCTGGTGTTTCCAAGTGCGGATTAGTATCGCTGATTAGTTTATAATCCCTGTGTTTTAAGCACTAAAAAGCAGTTGGATGATTCATGTGACCTTCTCAATAAACCCACCACAGCCCATGTATTCTGCACTAAATAAAAAACAGGGTTGAATGGATGCTAGCGCTGTCAACAGAATGGCAATTACTAACATTATTGGACACCTAATATATTAGTATGCTCTTGTGAAAAAGAGTGTGCACACATTTTTACTTGTAAAGTTTTGCATAACAGAGCATATTTTTTAAATAACCACAGTAACCACAACATCAGATGAATAACAACATGTCATATCATATTGTCTTTTTTTATTTAATAAAACTTAAGACAAAATCCAGAAACTGTGTGAAAAATTACAGTACATGCTTACTGTTCCATTGAATTTAAGAGGGTAAGTAGCAGACTGATCATCAGTAAGTGTGAGCACATCTATAAAAGCAGATTTTTTGGCAGTTTGCTGGTCTGGAACATTTAGATGTGTGTTAACATGGAAGAAAGATACCAGGAGGAGGAACACGAGCAATGAACCTAGAGAAAGAGTTGATGCTGCCCATCAATCGGAGGAGGTTTATGAAACATTTTCTAGGCAATTTATGTCTGTTATTCTGTCTGTTATTCTATTGCGCGAAAGTGGAAAGTTGCCAATCATCGCAGGAGTGGACATCCCAGCTAACTGCAAGGTCAGATCATACAATGAGAGAGAGATTGCAACAAACACAAGAGCTGCATCTCAGACAATAATGCACAGACCAAACACAGCATATCAGCAGAAACACCTCCTACCAGCTGTAAAGCACAGTGGTGGAAAAGTGCTAATTTCGGCTGGTTTACAGCCACAGCACCTGGATCAGTGTATCCACTATGAACTCCTCTATGTAGCAAAGTATTCTAGAGTCAAAATGAGGCCATCTGTTTGACAGGTACAGCTTGGCTGAAGCTGCGTCATACAATAGGAGAATAATCCTGAGCATGGCGGTAAACCAACAAAAGAATGCCTAAACGAAAAAGAATCAATGTGCCACAATGGCCCAGTCTAAGCCCAGACCTCAACATGATTGAAATGCTGTGGCAGCACATTAAGAGCGTAGTGCATAATTTAGTGGCCACAAACCTCAATGAACTGAAGCAATTTTGTAAAAAAGAGTAAACCAAAATTTCCCCAAATTAATACTTCGAGTTGCTGCTGAAAAGGGTTCTATAACCTCCTGAACCCCAGTGCTTCTCCATTTTCTCTCAGTTTTTTTAAAATAAATAATCGCAGTGCTTATCTGAGGTGGTGTTTTAATAATCTTAAACCTGGGAAATACAAGATAGTTGGGTTTTTTTCATTTTTTTTTGTCCTGATACACAAAACCTTCACGACTGTATATCCATCTGTACATATAGGACTAGGGTAGTGGTTGCATTTGTTTGAGCACAAATGCTGTAACAACAGGTGTAAACCATCTAACGGACATATTTGTTTGTAAACAATAAATACATTTAGGTATATAATTGCCGTTTTATGCCTCTGGAGCCGTGCCAGTATTTTCCCTTCAGCTAGTAGGCACGCACCAGCTGATGGAATCTCTGTATTACAGTGTGAAGTCCATTATCATGCATTAATGGAAACCTACTGTCAGATCATATCTATGTCACCTCAGGCCACCCAGTGATCCATGCCATGTGTCATCACCCTGACTTATCAGCTTGGCAAAGAGAAGTGGCAGTGTTTTCATTTTCTTAGATCTGCAACCGAGCACAAAAAAGTATTTTTGTGTGTTTGTGCCGTTTTTTTTTTTATAAGGCATCCATCTTTTATTGTTGTAGAAGAAAGCAATGCAAACTATAATCTCATCAACAAATGGATGAAAATGTCAATTCAGAGGACTGGTCACTTCTTTATAAATGACAGGAGACGCAGAAATAAAGTAAATATGGTGCACGGTCAATTTTATTGATGTACAGACCAATAAATAACCTTTTTTCATGAATAGCATTCAAGAAAAGAGTTTGTCACCACAGTATATAAGGAGTGCAAGGGTCATTAGCTGCTTTGTACCATTACTGTTATGCAGATCTGTCCTTCACTTTTCAGTCCATCTACAAACAAATATCATCAGCCAGCAACAAACAAGTGAAGGGAAACAGTCCACAGCGGAAGTATACAGAAAGATATTATTTTATAACAAACATAACTTTTTCCCATTACAATAAATATTTTATTTGTCTAAATCTACAAAAACATAGCTCAAATTCTAAAACTATACCTTACATACCTGGGGGTATTAACCCTGGAATTTAAAATAATTCACGTGAATACGGGCGTGTGATAACATTTAGCAACATAGTGCATGTTCACAGTTTGTGGGCTTACCTATACACTTGTTCAAAATAAGCCATTATACCTTTTTCATGTGAGATATATGATATTTTGCTAAATAAACTGCACAAGAATGAAAAGCAAAGTTAAAGACATCAACAAAAAGGTGACATCATTTCCGAATATTTATAATTCACTTAGAGAAAAAGGAAACGTTGTTAAGTACCTTTGGATGTCTGGCCACTGGTAGAAAAGCTCAAAGGCTGCGTTCAGCTGTGATAGACCGCCCAAAAGGGGAAAACAGAGAAGCGTAGCACTTTATCCGACCAAATTGTTGACATCTAAGGCCTCAGGATTTAGTAAAAATGCAGAACCCAATTCCTGATTCCAGATTTTCATCTGACTTATTTATACCCATGCCTGAGACATTTACTGCTGCTTAGTTTAGTGCTCTGCTCGTATAGTTCGAAACAGTGGTTCTCAAAGTAAAGCCAGGGGATCCACAAGGGTGAAATTATGAGCTAAAGACAGATTGTTTTCTATCATTTAAAAGGGATTGGAATCATTTGCAGCACTAAATTGGGTGCACCCCATGTTATATTTGGGCCAATAGAAACTCTGGAATGATTATGACAGATGATATCAATCTTATGTGAAACCACTTACAGTGCTGTGAGAAAGTCCCCTTTCTGATTTCTTACTCCTTATTTATTTCTTTATTTGCATATTTGTCACACTTGAATATTTCAGATCATCAAATAAAATGTTAGTGTTAGAAAAAAATAACCTGAGAAAACACAAAATTTTATTTTTAAATGATTATTTCATTTGTTAAGGGAAAAAAAAGCTCACCAAACGTACTTATCCCTGTGTGAAAAAGTAATTGTCCCCCATGTTAAATCATGAATTAACTGTGATTAACCACATATTTTGGAAAACAACACAGAGAGCCTCATTCTGACACTGTTGTGTCTCCTTTTCCAATTTAATGGCAAATCCAAGAGGGGATTCAAAGGATAAAACATGGACTAATATAAGAGATGTAATGACTGAAGTTCAGTTTAGTTGGCTACACTCAGGCCTGATTACTGTGAGACCTGCAGAATCAATAAATCCCATTAACTAGTCAACTTCGCCTGACCAGGTGAAGTTGACTACTTGACACTCATGCCACAATATAAAGAAACGGATGAGAAACCAATTCATGGTTCCATTAATTACAATGAGTCATCCAGATCCTAAAACAGCAAAGGAGCCTCAGACCATGACACTACCACCACCATGCTTGACCGTGGGGATAATTTTGTTTTTATGAAATGCTGTGTTAGTTTTATGTCAATATGTAACACAACAAAAAACCAAGCAATGAACAAATAAAATGGTTTTTTGTTGTGTTACATATTGACATAAAACTAACACAGCATTTCATAAAAACAAAATTATCCCCACGGTCAAGCATGGTGGTGGTAGTGTCATGGTCTGAGGCTCCTTTGCTGTTTTAGGATCTGGATGACTCATTGTAATTAATGGAACCATGAATT